ATAAAGGAGTTGTCGGTGATTTTATAGACCAGGTGAATCGTGTGGGTCGTGCGTTACGTGCATACACAAACAGGCACAGGTTAAATCCTAACGGTGGAACTAAATAAATCTTTAACTGTGCATACAAATAATAACTTTATATTATTATTTTAATGTATTTAATTGATGTGAAATTGCAGCTATTACTTTATTCCGCCATGACTGAAAACATTGTTTGAGCGGTTACTTGATTTTATTGCTTGATGGTGAATTAATGCGAGAAGCTTGAAAGCAATTTGATTCAGTAACTTGAACTGAAAATGAAACTCGAAATTATTAATCTTCGCCCAGCAGTGACTTTACTAAGTGTGGTAACTGACTAATATCCAGGGTGATTACAATTTGCGTCTTTCGTCTGGATGTGTTGTTTGAAGATATTTAGAGAGATGAAACAGCGTTGAAGTTTTGAATTTAAAATTCCAATAGATTTATTTTTTCAAAAATAAAATACAGGGTGATTTAAAATTGGCATCATTCCTCTGGAGGTGTTGTCTGGGAGTGTCTTGGGAGTACAGAACAAATAAGAACAAAAATTAAATGTTATAAAAAACTCAGATATTTGCAAAAAACTGGTTCGGAAGGATGGCATCAAAGTTCTTCAAGGTAATCTGCCTAACTAACATTGCGCAAATACCTGTTCCTTCGTAATTATTAAAAACTCCGGCAACCATGGATAAACATGAAGCCAAGAAACTAAAAGAGACAATATGATGCGTTGAGGTTAGGATAACGGTGTCACCTTGCGGTCAGTGCTGCGAGAAAACAGCCCCCCGACTGCTGCCATCTTTTTAAAAACGGGCACCTTCCATAAAATACGAAATTTTCTCATAAGATGAGAAGCATAGGACAAATACTATGAACAAAAATTTACTACGAATAATTACTGCTCGTATAAACCTCTTTTTTTCGGGCGTTATTATGAGAACAACCTATTAATAGTCCTAATTACGTATTTTGATTGAGTCACGTCTTTTTTCAGTTAGTCGCTGTACTCGTATATTAGAAAAAAATCAACGCAAAAATTTCATATAATTTGTTATTTAATGCATTCTATATCTAGTTTATTACTCATGTAATAAAAAATTGATTTAGCGCTATTGTGTTTGGATTATTCAATAATTGAGAAAAACGAGCAGGTTAACATGAAAAAAACGCAATAGATACAGATGCCTCCTATTACTTACTAGCATTAAAGGTTAGTGGCTGATAGATGGGTTCCGTACATCATTTCCGCGTTGATGGTTCTGCCGTAATACCTTCTGGTAGCAATTTTACGTAAAAGGCATTTTCTATTACGAATTGATAGCCCAAGGTTGCTATGAGCACCTATAAATGAGACTGAATGAAAAAGCGAAACGATTGATGCAAGGAAATTGTGACGGGTCGTTTGCTATCGGAATGCGTTTAATTACCTTAGGGACAGGCATCTTATTAGTAAAATCACCTTCTTATTTTCTCTTTGTTCTGCGGTATGAATAGTTGAAATAACCGAGCCAGTCAACAGCGAAGATTAATCGACTTTTCTACCACTTTCAACCAGTGCGGAGAAATATGTTTTTTTTGCGAAACAGAAGATTTAGCGTATACCTACATACATATCGACCTATAACGGGCGATGCTGTGCATGTCCAGCACAATAAATTTAAAACATTTGGTTTTTGTTTAATATACAGGGTGGTTCAAAATTGGCGTCATTCCTCGTAAGGGTGTATAGGGGCCCACTTAGAGACTACGAGAAAAATATTGACATTTTTTTAGATATATCACTCATTTGCCCGAACAAGATGGCAGCACTCGGGGGGCTGTTTTGTCTCAGCACTGACTGCAAGGTGACATCGTTATCCTAACCTCAACGCATGTTACCGTCTCTTTTATTTTCTTTGCTTCATGTTCATCCATGGTAACCGGAGTTTTTAATAATTACGAAGATTCTGATCTAGTTTTTTGCAAATATCTGAGTTTTTAATAACATTAATTTTTTTTACTACATTTTCTGTACTCTCAAGACACCCCCAGACAACACCTCCAGAGAAATGAAGCCAATTTTGAACCATCCAGTATAAATATTAAATACCTCGCTATTTTCTAAACTAGGAGTAAACAATTATTAATTTTGCAAACGTCAAATTTAACGCGTTAAAAGTTTCAATTTCCAAAAGAATGAAAAATAAAGCTGCTTCACATAAATTTGAGTGCCAAAAAGATAGAAATCGAACTATTGACCCTCCTGTACGAGCCGTAGTTTTGAAAGGAAATGGACTGAACATTATAAATGACGCTTTACATGCAGACATAGGTACTTAGTACATCTAAAACGCCTGCCGTAAATTTATTATATGAAGAGGAGAAATTGTTCGAACAGGAACAAATAGAAGATGTTACTGTTTGTTTGAAAACACATGTGAGGTTTCAAGACAGCTAAGCCGAAAAAGAATCTGTTTCCCAATTATGGGTTTGTGTTGAATTTTAAATTTGATGATGGCGCTGTTGTCTCGCCGAAACGTTTTATGAAATAAACGATATGAGCATTTTTATTGTTGAGAAATTGAAATTCAGTAGCCGGAAGATATCAAGTCAAACAAGCTCTATTTAGCATTTCAATCAAACAAGCTTTATTATTTTACATTTCATCTGTGATGGATTTTATATCATGTAATATCATCATTTATAAAGACGCTTATGGTCATATAACTAACGTAGGAATTCTATCCGACGTACCGTTTGACGTTACAGCAAGTAAAGCCACGTTCTGGCTTGACGTCCTTCTTAAAGCAAAGATGGTAACTTTCGATCCCTTTTTTGACACTTTTTTTCTCAAAATTTGTTATTGGCCTTCTTCTAAACGACCCGCTCGTTAATGTTTGAAGAAGTTTCAGCCAAAAAAAAATATGTGCAAAGACCCTATTCATTGGCCAGCTCGGTCTCCCGATTTGACCCCACTTGACTTTTTTCTGTCGGGCAAACAGCATTTTTAATATGATTAAAAATGCCGTTTAAAAAAATAGTACACAAAATATTGAGTTCCAAGATAGAATAAGTCACGAAATTGGAATACCTGATTCCTCGGAATATAATTATAAACTGATTAGAAAATTTAGTTCAGCGACTTCATTACTGTCAAGAGGTGAACGGCGCGCACCTTGATCGCTTTTTGAAATAAAATTTTAAATTAATCCTGGGAATCAGGATCATTATCTTCTTTATGACTTCTGTCTATTTTTCTTTTACCATTCCTGTTGCAAAACTGCTAAACTAAAAATCGTATAATTTATTTGAAAATCTTAGGAAACGAAGTAAAACAGACAAGTAAGGAAATTAATAGGGTCACAGAATTTGAAAAATTACGTTTTTAACAATGTCATAAACTTAAGGAAACATCAAAAAGAACTTTTTTCATAGTTTGCTTTTTTGCAGGTGCCTTAACCAAATCTCAGTTCCCAGTGTTCACCATTTACGCCCAGAAGAGCTGTTTGGGTGTGAAGCCGTGCGAAAGAGCATGGTGCATTGATCGAGTACAAAACTACCGACTAACTAATTACGTCAAAAGTCAACAAATCGTCGGTTCGAGACAGGAGTGCTTAGAACTTTGCTTAGGAGAAACGGAATATGCGTGCAGGTAAGATCTAAGAAAATATTGATTTGGCCGCATTTCACTGATGAAAGTCGAAGCAGTTTTCTCACAAACAGAATATTTTTACTTACCGAGTTGTAGAATCGTGATCACTTCAATCTAGATGCACTTACCTGCAAAAAAAATGCATATTATTAAAAAATTAAATAAAAAATATTAACTCATTTTTCGTTAAAAAAGCATGTCCTGCCATGTAATGATTGCAATTATGCCAAATTATGTTATGAACATCGTACATAAAAAATATATCAAAATGACAACCTCAATCTGAACTTTTCTAAGTTTCATTTTGGTACAAGTACGTATAAGTTACATCTCATTTTGGCAACCAATTTAGTATAACGCAAAAACACTCTGCATTGCTAGATTATAGTGCGGCACATGAACAAAAATACTTATGTTTTTCCTAACGAGCACATTATTACTTTGGTACCCATCTATAGAATTTCACGAAATTAGTCAAAAATTACATTAAACAATTGAATGGAACGCAATATCCTAAGGCCCGGTTCCACCATCTCCGATTAAAATGTTAATCATTGATTAACACTATTTAATCAACACTTTGCGTTCCACCATAATTTTAACCACGATTAAGGACACCCAATCAGTGGTTAACTTAATCGCCTAAAATGGCTGATTATCGACGATAATCACGATTAGTGTAGTATTATAACCTCAAACAATTTTAAGTAAACACATGTTAGATTTGTTTTGTGACGATGCTTTATCACCGTCTGATGAAGATAATGCCATTCAGGTTGTTAGAGACCCCGAATATTTAATCCGCGAGTCAATTATTTTGAAATCATGGACACCTTGAGTTTTTTTAGTCTATTTTGCTTATCGAAAAACCGTGTCCAAACATAACTGCTGGAAATAGAAGTAGACATGCAACATACTACAGACAGTTATGATAAATGAATAATAGTAAAATTGCCACATGTTCATTAAATGGATTTTTTAGAAGCAACACTATTCAACCCACTACACAACTTTTACTTGTGTTGAGGTATTATGCAACTGTATAGCATCTTATTGCTGCTTGAGACTTTTTTGGAGAAATTAGTGCAGCACAAGTAATTTTTTATGCATTAGCTCGTTATCCCAAACTTATCTCAGTGTTGGATTGTACTCATATTAAAGTACAATCCTTTGGGGGAGACAACACAGAAGTATTTTGTAATAGAAAAGGACATTTCTCTATCAATGTTCAAACGACATGTGATTACTATTTTGAGAGAAAATGATTCCAGTTGATCTGTCAGTTGTTTGAACCAATCAGAACCGTAAATTCAAAGAAAATACGCTCTTACCCGATGAGACTGATGATTATCTAACCAGAGTTCAAATGTTTGTTGTGGAACGCATGACAATTTAATCATGCTTAAAGTGGTGATTAAAAAATGATTGTGATTAGTTAACGAAGAATTTAATCACTCTTGGTGGAACCGGGCCTTAGAATGAAAAACGAATTTAATTTTCGATCGCCGTGTTGTCTGAATATCTAATAATATAAAAATTATATTCTATTATTTACTATTTAACTTAATTTTTGAGTCCTTGGTTTTAAGTCATATTCAATCTATTATCCACTTAGGTAGTTAGAAGTGAAAAGTATTTAATATTTAAAAAAACTTGAAATTTTAGCAAAAAAAGGTTTTTGTCTGGAATTAAATTGGCTTCAATTTTGTATACTAATATACAGGGCGTTTCATGTAAAAATAAGTGTTTTCACTATCTTTACTATACGATGTTCGATTGATTTTTTTGTATGACCATCGGCTTAAAACTCTTTGCAACTTAATTTAAACCAACAGTTTAAGATTTATCGGACATTTGTTTGCTCTAATTTGTAACTAACTTTTGGATTTATAATTTCTTCTATTTTTATGTATGGTCGCACCATCTAGCTTAAAACACGTTGTTTAGTTATCTGGTTCAGTACCATAAACCAATCTTTGCTCCACTTACAGTAAACCTATTTAAACAAAAGTGGTGGTCCTTCAAACCTCAATCTATCCACCAACGCTCTATCTACGCTAATAACAAAGTCACTAGCGCTGCGCACTTAATTTGGTACACCCTGGTCCCGTTTTCAATTTCAGACATCACCACTATTTTTTGTATTCCCCAAATGGGAAGCGCAAAGCAAATGGGACGTATTTATGAACACTTTTAAAGTGCTCATGGCCATTCTGCATGTATGTCGTTTGCACCTACAGAGCTAGAGATTTAAAAGGTCTTACACTAAACTAGATTATAATTCTTGCAATCACCCTTATTAGGAATGTACGCGTCTATTTGCTTTCTGAGTACTGCTATCGGGGCAATCCGTGGGATGTACGACTACTCGTAGTTACTTACTGTCCACAGTGGCAAAAGTACTACGACTGTTTGTTACATTGTTTAAATAGTTTCAGTTCAGTTTCAAGCTTCCACAATTACGTTAGACCCCAAATATTTCAGAATATGTAGTAAGTAGTAACACAATTATCAAAGAAATGAAAGATGCATCTAGACGACGTTGTTATAAAGGGTTAAGTTCCAAGTCAACCATTAGCGAGAGCTGGCGTTGCAAAGAAACGGAATAAGGAGGGTTTTACTACTTTTCCTAGAATATAGACATGAAGGTAATAAGGAAAAACTTCTAATATGTTGGCAAAAATTCCTTTTAAATGTTTACAATTTCACAATAAATTTACAGGTGCTTAAGCCGACAATAAATTGTACAATTCATTTTCGATAATTACACCCGATACTTCCTGTGTGCAATGCATTGGTATATAATCGATCGACTAAATTTATTCAACTTATAGTTGCCACATTTTTCGGTCAACTGACTGCAAAAAGAGGCTTTTTTCGGGTGCAGCCGGAAATGAGCCGCTATGCCGCGGTATCGTTTCTATCGGCACCAAGGGCGGATCCAGGGGGGGTCGTGGGGTCATGACCCCCCTCTTGTGCTGCATTTATATCGACAACAAATTGATCGGCACTATCAAAGAGTTCGCAGAAAATGTTTCTATCTAGTATCTACATCAAATGTCCGATCTTTTCATTTCAGGATCTAACATGGATGTTTTATCGATGTCCCAAATTTCAAACATCGACGGTAAAAATATCGAACATCGAACGAATTACATCGATGTGTGCGAAACATCTTCCATCTACCATTCCTAATATATATATTGATCAGTTTCTCCATAAATAATAAATTTAAATAATCTTTGTTTGTATAATTTAACTGTCTGAGCATGATTATTAATTATTTTCACAACGTATCTGATAGCTGTCAGCACTCCTTTGGCATTTGATTGTATTAAAAATGGCCACTTGCGTCATGGCAACTAAAAGTATGGGGTGGAGGAGAGGATTTAAAATAAGATGCGGCAAAATAGCCATATGAAAACATTAAATTGACTTCAATTAAATTAATTTCAAAATGAGTAAATTAAGTAAGTATAATGAAATAAGTGTAAACAATTTTCGCTTGTATAGTTTAGGCGCCTTGGCATGATTATTAATTCTTTTCAAAACGTAACTGACAGCTGTCAGCATTACTTTGGCATTTCATTGTTTTAAAAATGGCTACTTTTGTCATGGCAGCTAACAATGACAGGATTTAAAATGAAATGCGGCAAAATACCATATGAAAACATTAAATTGACATTTTTTCGAAAACTAAATTCTTTTAAAATAGACAACTTTACACAAACGTACCTTTATTTTTAATACTGAATAAGATTAAGTTATCAAAAATTGGGGTTTTCCATGTGAAAAAAATGATTTAGGACGGTTTTCTCCACGTCATTTTGAAACTTATTTGATTAACACTTTGTATTAATAGTTATCAGATTGTTGTCAAAATTCCATTAAAGTAAGTCCTTTTCAACAAGAAATGCGACTCAATTTAAGGAGCACTTATTCCCTTATTTGCAAAATGAATAATAATTCGAGGTGCCTTAAGGATATTAAAGAAGAAATATATTTAGGATTTGGTTGGATTTTAATTTGGAGAATTAAAAAATGTAATAATATACAGGGTGGTTTACGGTCGATGGCGTATTAGACGTTTAAGGACAATGCGATGCCCGATCTATCTGCAAATTTGTACAACGAAGTCATCGGATATGAGCTATCGGCCTAAAATAAATTTTCTGCAATGCGAGGGTGCCGCTTATACCGGAAAGTACATACAACTTTGATTTTTTAAATGAGAGACCCTGTATATTATTGCACGGTTGGATTGGCTATATAGATATGATTATTTTTGCATAACGATTCCCATATCTATCTAAAGCGGTTTCCAAAATATTAAATAATTTTCTCAATTTTATTTAATATCAATCTAACGTTCTATAACTATCCATCATTTGGAACCAGAAATCACACGCTCAAGTGTTTCGATTCTGCTTTGAAACACCTTGTTTAACTTTAACATATTAGATCGATTTCACCTCTTAATTCTGCACGTACTCGCTCGAGCTTGTCGCAGTTTAACTGCCTTCTTATTTAATCAGTTGTTATGATGTAATGAAAAAACATTGGTAGTGAAATGGTCGAGTTCACTTTCGCTTTAGGTTATTGAACTTGACCTTCCTGCTCCAAATCAGTGAGATTTTACACTTGCTGGTTTTGTAAAACAACTTTCATTTGGACTCGCTTCAGAATATCTGCGACTGAATGAATCTTCGGGCAACCATTGGTCCGAACAGTTTTAAGAATCGCGTCTCCATGTTTGGAAGAAAAACACATACGACATTCAAATTAAAAGTAATTGAAATAGTAAATAGTGATAAATATGTTGAACGCACAAGTGCAAAACTGCCCGTAATGTCAGACTATGAAGACTTTTACAGCCAGTCAAATCACATATAGAAATGTTTTTCGGGCTTTGAAGCCGTGGTCCATGGGAATTTCTTCCTGACGTTTCGTCCACAACTGCGGCGGACATTATCAAAGACGATGGGGCAAAGTGATCTCCC